TAACATTTTTTAGCCCCAAACCATTACAATATTTGCACCAGTGGGAACATGAATCACCTAAGTTCCAGGCTTAAAAGTATATTTGAGTAGCTCACTGAACTACAGGTTACATATTAATTTGTTGCCCACTTCTTTCCTGTTCATATTCTGGAAAGTTAGGAATTAGTAAGTGGTGGGAACATTCCAGGAAGAGAATTAGATTTTCAGACACTGAGAAGGTAACTCTGTGCATCTCTGGGGGAAAAGACATTAAAACAGAATTTAGCCCTGTCTTGTAGTAGGAATGGAACAGAACTGACGGGCTTGTCTAGAAAACTCTGGGCTCCTCCCAGGAGAAATGGGCTGTAGAAGATTATTCTCAGGGAGGTTCTTAGTATGACTTATTTGGTTTAAAGAGGATAGATTTCTTTTTTAACTAATGCATTGTAAGGAAGCAATTAGATTTGTGTAGCACTTCTTCAACTGAATGGAAACTGAACTGGCTTTCTGTGTGCCAGAGATGTCATAGTGCTAACAGAGATGCACTTTTAACTCAAACAGAGTCTAATATCACAAAAATTCTGAGAACTGGGGTCACAGACATATATATGCCTTTTGTCTGCCTCAATGTAGCCTTGCCCAACGGTGAATCCAAACCTCAGAGAGAGAGAAAGAGACAGAGCCAAATCTGAGGAGCACAGCAGAATTACAGGATATCAGATTTGGAAAATACAGAATCTTCTGTGAATGGCATCTCACTGTGGCACATGAAGTGGGTGAGGCTAAGGATAGTACTTCTACTTTTCCCCTTCCAATCTGAGCTTTGATTTGAGGAGCTGTTCTTACACACTTTTACAGAGACCCTGTAGGGATTATGTTTTCAAACAACAGGTGGCATAAAGCTGGATTTAAGGGTGGGAAAGCCACTCCAGAGTCTCAGACTTGCATATGAAAAGCATTAATTATTCCCTCAGTTACCTTACAAGCCCACCAAATCCAACTGAGAATAGTGATAGAGATGCAGCCGTGTTAGTCTGGTGTAGCTAAAACAAAAGACAGAACTATGTAGCACTTTAAAGACTAACAAGATGGTTTATTAGGTGATGAGCTTTCGTGGGCCAGACACACTTCCTTAGATAATGCCATCCCATGATTTCAAATAGGTCCTTAGATAATGCTGGCAAAAATTGACCCCAGGAGTAGATGACCTAATACTGGCCATATGAAGTCACCAGGAATTCTGTCACTGATTTTAGAAGTGCAAAGTTGGCCCTATGCACTTCCACTACTACAGTTAATTTCCTTATTTTATATCCTCATATACAAAATACAGGAACTTACCAGTGCTTCTTAAAACCTTTTGAGTACCACGTGCTACAAGATGTAACAATGTTCAGAAAACTCCCTCAGGCCTAAATTTAATTATACAACCAGAGCAAGAAGATTTTAATCTGATCAAAGTTTTAACATGTTTGTCCTCTGCTGTTTATAAATGCCTAAAAGACAGACATAACTACTAAGGAGATGCCTTAATGTCCTTTAAAGTCATTTGTACTTTAATAAAAAGGATATCCCTTTATTATTTGGTGTTGCATTTGGAAAAATAGCTTCTGAATACATTGATACGCATTCATTGGATGTTCCATACAGATTTATAACTGACAAAAGTCTACACACTCTGAGAAAGCTCGAACTTTCCTCAGAGTAGGAGTGGAGGATTAGTCCCTCGATACACATGTGCAGCACCAATATTGAGGATGCTAGTCCAGAACACTTTATGACCTAATACATCCACCATCTGTGCACAGCATGCTGAAGCAGGCATCAATACAACAGATCATAATCACTTTAAAAGGACCTCATCAGTCTATTGCACGTGCAGCCTAAATTTGGCCAGAGTGCCAAATAGCTGACCACAGGGTGCTAAAATAAGGCCTTTAGCAGGGGTGCTGAAACAAGTTGTACAGAGGAGATGCTGAAAGCCATTAAACCAAACTGTATGATGAAAACGATTTCAAGCCAAGGGGTGCGACAGCAACCCCAGCATGCCCTAATTCCAGCACCTAAAGCCTTTCGCCACCATCTTAATGTAAGGTAAGAGCAAAACTAATCAACTGGAGCATTGAACTGCTGATGAACTCAAGCAGCGAGTCACTTAATTCATGGCTCAAGAAAGGCACATGTACACATAAAAATCAGAGTTGCATGCATTAGGATAAAATGTAATGCATATATATGAAACCTACTATTACACGAGGTGGACAAGATATCAGTTCACGCACTGCTAGTCCATTACTTCAGTTATCAAACTATGACCGAGCCCTTAAGAAACTGAAACACAATTGGAGCTATCGTGAAAATAATTTTTAACAACATTAAGGTTAGCACAGTAATACTAATGTTGTGACTTGTTCACAAAAGCAGAGACACCCAGAACTGATTCCAGCCTTAATTCATTGTAATACTGTGTCTAACAAAAACAGGAGTCTGTCTGCAGACCGGACATGATTTTATAACAAACAACAGTGCGGAGGTTCAATTCCAGCCTTATTTCTGAATCCCTTGGATTTTTTGCTATTCCTGAGTTTTCAAAGCACTGCCTGGGCTCCTTCTCTCTTATGGGGTGGAGAGAGAGAAGAAGGGGCAGGGAGGAGGATTACAAAATTCATCCCAGCTGCCTACAAATGTTCACAGGAAGTCCCAGTTAGAGTAAGGCTTCACTACCAAGTAGATATACAACAGTGATGTACAATCTTATTTTTCACACAATCCCCTTAAGCTGCCAGAATTTTAATTAAAAACGCAATATTTTTCTTGGAGGATAAGTATCCCAAATCTTCAATCATAATAATGATCACACAGTGGGAATAACTATTGGATCAAAATCTATTTCTTATAAAACATGAACAGTATTATATGATCACAAATGATAGCAGTAAAAATACTTACTACCTTAACTTTTGTATAAATTACTGTAATCAATCAATACTAAATACAGACCAAATCGGCCAGAAGAAAATAGTTATATATATTGTACCTTCTTTAGAGTTAAGAAGGAAGATTTGCAACTTCTCCTTGATTTTAGGGAAGAACTCTTTCCACATTTTTAAAATAAGTAACAGATTTTTAGATAGAAAAATTAAATCACCATTTCAGTCCACCGAACCTGAGGCATTGCATAATCTGTATGGCTTGATTAAAAGATTTCCATTGAATTTAAATGGACTTTGGATCCTTCCCGCTCTGCTTGCCATTTTTCATTCTCTTGATTTCTGTACTGTTTGTTTTACTCTACCTTCCTCCAACTGTAAACCCATACTCTTTTTACATTAGCAGTGGTGGGAGGTTCCTTAACTGGTTCACTAACCAAAAGCCTGTTTCTTAACCACACTGCTAATAAACAGGCTGCCACAGTTTTAACCAACAGAATAAGATCCTCAAAGGGTTAAGATGTATATAAATATTCACAGAATTCTTAAGCATCTGAATAGCTACTGTGCCAACACAAGTGACAGCTCATCCAAATTCTGTACCAGGGAGCACAAATTAATGGCATTATTAAAAAAAAACCAGCTTTAGTAGCACACTTCAAAATGTAACAGCAAAAGAAGAGCATTATCGGGGAGAGAAATGAGAGGATTAACAGGAACCTGGAGTAACGGGTAGGAGGATGGAAACAAGTGACCAGATGTATATATAGTGTTCCACATTGGCATGGCCTTGCAAATGTATCATTTCTTTTTGTATAATGAAGAAAATTACAACAAATGTAAAGACAGGTCCCTCAGTTACTGTAAAACGACTTAAGTGGAATGAACGACTACACCAGCTAAAGGTCTTACACTTTACCGGGCAACTGTACTATAAACACAACAAGATTTCAAAAATAGCCAAAGCTACCACTACCCTACTTTAAAACTTGTAATATTGCAACCGTTTAGATGGGTCACACAAACGTTTTATTATGCCTTGACTCAAAAAGTGTTTCATAGTACCCCACCATAGCATTTTTCATAGCAGCAGTTTTTGCATTCTTACTTTTCAAGTTCTGAAAGGACTAAAATTCTTAAAGTTAGTAGAATTTCAGAGACCTGCAGGTTTACATTAAAGGAGGTCAAAATATATTGTTCTAAATCTTGTAGCAGTAAGACCAAAACTAAAAATGAAATAAGATGGACCATATTCTGCTCTCATTTACACAACTCCAAATCTAGAATAATGGTTGACATCCATACAATTACTCAAGATTTGCAGCCGAATATGCCCCTTTGTGTTGGTTATTTGCAATTTCTGTTAAAAACTCTGCTAGAGATGTCTATGGATAAGGATTTTCTGGTGAACCCCCCCCCCCATATCAAATAATTCAACTAATAAATTAATACATACAGTAAATTGTATACTTATTACTAAAATTTACTTAATATTTATTTGCAAAACTTCTGTAAAAAAAAAAAAAAAAAGAGTGGAACAATCATTGCCTTTTAGGAACATTAGACCTTTGTGTAGCCCCAACTGCAACTAATTAAACATGGTAAAATGTACATCCCTATGAAGATTATCCACAACTGAACCCTTTCATGCTGGGGTTGGAGGGATGGACAACAAAGCAAGCCATTTTACAAGGGGATACCAAGACAGCTGAGCTGGGTGCTAGTTTCATAAACACATATATCACAAATCATCATCTCATACTTAAGGAGAAACAAAGGCGGCATTCTGCAAGTAGCTCTTACAGGTAGTTCTTAATCTATTTGTTGAAGACGGAGGATGAAACTAGAAGCTGAGGCGATCTGAAAACAAACCCCTCTTGAGAATTCAGAACCACACCACTGTCTTGGGGTTGAACCTTATTCACCCGCTCATCCTTTTCCTTTAATTTCTTTAGGCCACCATCCAGGCCTTTTAGAAATAATGCTACATCAGGACTGCAAAAGCATTGGCATCAAGTGATTGCATAGCTGTCAGCAACATACGTCAGTTGTGAAAGGTTAGAAAACTTGTCAAAAACATGATGAACTCACCAAAGGTGACATAGATCCATTTGGAAGATAAGGGTCTGAGAGCATTAGGAAAGGGTAGCCAGAATACGCAGATCCTTTGTACATCCCTGTGTCCTGATGCTTTATACCTGTTAAAATTAAAGTATTTTCATTAGGACGTGCCCTAAACAGGTCATTCCTCTGCCTGGGCCAGGTGCTTATAGTTTGCAAACAGAATATTAGGAGCAACCTATATATTTTTGGTGCCCTCTGTTCTAGAATAATTATTTTATGTGCATAGTTTACCCTTAAGACTTATAACACATTTGTATTTTCTGTGCCACTAGCCTGCCTCCATCAACAGCTCTGATTTGTTTTAGTGCTAAAGCCCAATAAAAACTTGCGCTCAATGGTTTTCCCTTTAGGGTGAAGCACACTCAACAGAGCAGTACTATTCCTGGACCATTCCCCCGCATCACCACAGATTCCTAAAGCTTGTCTCCAGAGACCCACCAAGAGACCAGCACATCAATAATATTTCAGACACTGAGAGAAAGGGGAGGATTGTTTACACATTGAATGTCAAGGGAGTGACTAAACCCCCTTGTGTTGTGGCAATACAATGTATCCAGCACTCAAGGGCTTCTTCAACTGGCGAATCAAAGTTCCTCCCTGATTTTTTTTGACTGCTCTGATTTATAGAAAGAAACTCAAGTTTCTCTTCTCCCCCGCCCCAAATCCCTCCCCAGGACTCAGCACATCACCCAAAGGGTTGCCGGTGGAGGGGGAGGGGGTTACAGAGAGAGGAAGGGCCGGATAAATGAATGGTTTCAAACTAACCATCTTCCATGTGATCCTGGAGTTGCT